TCCTGATCTACAGTCCTAAAGGTGCTTTCTCAGCTCAAGCTGAAGAAGCATCTTGGATGAGAAGCTGAAATGCCTTCAAAGAAAAACAAGAAAGTCCAGTTGCCTCTTGAAAAAGCACCTTTGGGACAACTGTGACCTGGATGACTAAGAATCTCCATAGACACCTGATCGACAGAATTACAATGGAAACATAGAATCTGCCATCTGAGGTAACATCTAGCAGGCAAAAATCCTGATCTTATGTTTGATACTAAATGGAGGGCATTACTTCAGTAAATCTCTAGATGTACCTTTGTTTTTCTTCAGACTTCTCCTTCTTTCATGCCTGCATGTTTGTTCATTGAATTTATTTTTATTTATGGATCTGCAAAAACAGCTGACCCCAAATAAAACTTATTTTGATTCCAACATAAGTCTATACTATCTTCAGAAATACTTAATGAAGAACTGAATTGCTAATGTGACGTAATTATAATAATTTTCTCTATTAGATATTTCAACTGTTAGTTGTTTGCAGGTTATATGATTTAAAATGACACTATTCTATTTTTGACACATACAACATGTGGACTCGGCCACAGTTATAAACAAAATTTGAAGAATTGTAGACTGCGATAAATCCTTGTCTCCTTTTGACAAAAGATATTAAGACCAACACATGAAACAGTACATTTTATTATTATTCCACCTTTGTTTTCAAGGGAGCAGGGCCAGTAAATGTGAATCCACAGGCCAACTGTCAGAAATTATTCGGGATAACTGATGGAAGCAGAGGAGATGTACATTTCTTTGTCAAGAATTCCAAGGATTTATAAAACATTACCTGGATCATGAATAACTGTAGATATGACCAGAAGGGTGGGGGGAAGAAAAAGAAACAAAGCTTTTAATTATAATTGTCAGCAAGAAGCAGAAAGATAAATTACATGCTTTTTAGACTTGAGAAATAAAGCTGAAAAAGTTTTTCTGCCCAATAAGAGGAGCTTTTATGTAAAAATAGAAGTTCAATCATGCAACTGATACCAATGCAGATTTACACCTAGCTACAGGATTGCCATAATCTATATTTTATCTTATAATGAAGCCCAAATAGTTCTCAGATTTTTTTCTGCATGCATCCAAATAAAATAACTAAGTTTAAATGTGTGTGATCATCACAAGGCCAGCATAACATATATAGTTCCTGTATGCATCTCACTTGATCACGGCAACTATGACATTTTATCCACATTGTCTGTTGTTTGTTGTTGAGTTAATAGTCAGACTGGCAAATTATCCTGACTAACTTTCTTGTCCTCTCACCCTAGCATTTCCTTTGATCTTTGATTTTGCATTGAGGACTCCACACATTGTGCTGAGCACTTTTTGAGCTTGTCTTTAGCAAGAACACAGTTCTTTGTGAGATTCCCTTCACCCCTCATATTAGTTACATCAAAAATGTATGCAATTCATCCTCCTCCTATTCTGCCTCTTGTTCCGATTTGCTCCTTCTCATCTGATACCTACTGTATCTGAGTTATATAACAGTCTGATTACATAAAACCTAAAAATGACAACAGGGTTCTTATCTACTTTTTCTGCTTAAAACACCTGCCAAACCACCACAGGAACTTACCTTCAAAATTTGAAAAAATGATGAGATTGTCATTTTTAACAAAATTTCTCCGGTACAATTCACTATATGGCAAGATGTAATGCCATCCCCATCCTGGGCCTATATGGGTGTTATAGAAAGGATCAAAAGTTCCAGTAATGTCAGCCTTATCCCAAAAAGGTTTCCCATCTGTCAAGCAAAATAAAAAAATAACCATTAAAAAATGATGTGGATCAACATTTTATATGTACAACTGCCAACATTTTTAGTAGCTATATAAGATTCAAATAATCAGACAACATTTCCATCCAACATTTTTTACAGAAAAAGTATTTAGAATATAAGATAATTTTGCCTTGGTAGTGAGAATGGTTGGGGGAGGGAATGTTGTGCTCCCTACATTATTTTATAAAATCTGTGTTAATAAGCTTTCCCATTCTCCAGGAGAATTCCTGCAAAAAAAATCTAATTAACATAACTTTCATTATAATTATCTTCACATGTTGCAGAGTATGGCTACTTCTAAAAAATGGAGACTTGGCTTAGATACATCTTGTTTATGACTGTTTCTGCATTCTATTTTGCCAGTGAATACAGATGTAGTTAGATGCTTTCAGAGACATACTGTAATTTAAAATGCTACTGATAAACTTTAGAGAATCATGTTATGAATGCACCTGCTCTTCCACATGGGGCAGCTGGGGGAATTATCCAAGTAGCCTTGACTTCTGGAATATTATTTGTAGATACATTTCCAGGTCCCTAACATTTTGTTTTCTTTTCAGCTGCAAACTACAAATACTTTTATACCTGATTTTTGTTTATACTTTATTATCACCTGAATTTGTCTTAGGTTCTAGAGATTGTCTCAAACCAAGAATTTTTAGCACTTCCTGTTGTGAAGATTGGATTTCACTAAGTCACTTAGAAATGGAGGGAAAGGTATAAAATAAATATTTAATTCAATTCTGCAAAAAATTAGACCTGCTTCTTGATGCTAACCCAACCTTCCAAAACTAAAAGTTCTGTCCTATTGATGCTACACTATCTTCAACAATTCTATGATTTTTAACATATAAAATTTGATTCTAAACTATCCAGTCATAGGGAGTATTTCAGATCAATTTTTTTAGCAGCTGTAGAATTATGCTTCTAAACAAGAGAGGAAGCAGTTAGTTCTGCACAATCCAAACCCCCATTAGACTTACTGTAACGCTGGTTGGGGTCTGTAACAAAACTTCGGCTTGCTGACATCCTTTGGGTGATGTCAGGATCTTGATCCACTATGGTGAATGTCACTTGCCTGTTCACAGCTGGCCATTCTAATGCTCCATCATTCTGGCCACTACATAAAGAAAACATGATTCCTAGGTAATCTCCATTTGAGTTGCCTGGACCCCGGGGATAGAGACTGAGCACAAAGCAGTAGCCTTCAGAGTTATAAAAGATAGGGCTTGC